GACGGTACAGTCCTAAGCAAGGTATTAGGATCTCTTAAACGTTGCAGGTAAGGTTCTCTCCCCCAGGAGAGCGTCTGTCCTATGGGATCCAGCGCTCGGTCCAAGGGACAACCGCCACGTGCTCGGTGCTTCATTGTGCCAGGTAAGACGCAAGGTGCCGAGGTGCGAACTGGCAGCCAGCAAGGTGTAGACAAATCTCGACGCGCTACCATTGTCTCTCGTGAATTGGCCACGTTTGCGCGTTGTTTCCGAGCGACTCGAGCCGCGACGTTCATCGATCATGTTTCACCGCGCGCGCGGTCCGCGCTCTTCCCGCGCTGATATTCCTCGCGGGACGTTTCCGCTTGAGCCGCGTGCTTCAACACTCATTTGAAAATGTTTCGGCTCTCAAGCACGCTGATCAAGATAAATGATCCACTTTCGCGAGCGCGGGATCCACGACAGAGAGCCGGCGAGAGTCCGCAGCAGAGTCGTCCGTCCTCGTTCGTTCCTTCGTTCGTTCGTTCGATCGATCGATCGTATCGACTCGCCGCGGCGTCTCTCATTGAATTAATACCGAATTTTTGGCCGCCGTCATCAAAGCGACCCTGATTGCTGAGCTCCGCGCGGACGCGCGCGCGCGCGCGCGCGCATGGGTGCCACAGTTGATTGGGATCATTGTAGGGGGCATTTTATGCACCGAGCATGCACCGCGGCTCCAACTTGAATACCGAATCAGGGAGAATGAAGGAGAGACAGAGAGAGAGAGAGAGAGAGAGAGAGAGAGAGAGAGAGAGAGAGAGAGAGAGAGAAAGAGAGACGAACAGGACGAGAGAGCGTGAGACGCGGGGAAGTGGGGGTTCCAGAGGCTGTGCACCGTAACAGTAGAAGGCTGCCTGTCCCCCCTCCTGCCATTGCCGTCCCTCTCGCCCGTTTTAATAATCCTCGACCCCCTTTAGAGCGATCCGAACAAGGATAGAACACAGCTGGTCCCCCCTTTTTGCCTCGTGCCCGGTGTTAAGGGGTACCGCCCCCTACTGTGTACATTAGTCTCGCTTGCTTCTACCTATCGTGGCGATCTCTCGCTCTTCCGCGTCAACTTCTGCTTTCTCGGAAGACTCGAAATTCGGGAAGGACGATCGTGATGCCTTTCGGCACGGGATAGTTCGTTCCTGATGTTACATGAAATTAAACGATCCGATCTGCGAGTTCTCTTCTTTGTACTCTCCTCTTTCAAAGGCTTCTTTTTGGCGAATTTTGTCGTAACTCGACAACGCAGTCTTCACGTTTCGCTCCTTGGGACACCTCTCTATTGTCCGATTTCGATGATTCCTTAGCCTTGCAGGCCTTCGGTAGTTATATCTCAGCTTTTCGCTCGTCCCATTCTGTCCCTTTTCTAACTTGTGACTTTCTCCGTGGGACTGTCATCGTCCCACAGCGTATACTTTCAGATCTGTCATTGCCAATGAATGTGGAAGACAGGATGAATATCAAGGTAAACTTGAATATCTCTGTCTTATACTTTGCCGGGAATGGACAAACATTCTTCAAGCAAAACATGCCGTGATGTATTTTTCCAAAAAATGCCGGACTTTTTCCGACTTTCGGCGCTTTCGCGGAATTTCACCTGGTTTAACCTGAGATGTGTGATCGCATTTATCGCGAATCGTTTCGAATAATTTGATCGTTAAATCGATTCATTTTTGCACTTATCTGTCATTCTTATATAATTCGAATCCAAATTTGGGTTTCGAATTTAGTTCTGCATCCGAATCCCTTATTATAGCCCGAACTTGAATAATTCGGATCATCCGGATTATCCGAACGGAGTGCGGTTTTGAGTTTTCGGATCGAAACCGATCTCGGATAGTCCGGATAGTCGATACTCGAATGCTTGGGAGCTTTACTCGCTACGTATCGGCCGGCGCGTGTATCGAGCCTCTGGGATTGCTCCTGCCGAAAAAGCATAATAAAGCATCGAATTGCCTATAATTAGAAGTGTGCGATGTCGTGCACAAAATTGCGAAAATTCCATTATTAAACTCGATGCCCGCTTTTACCCCTCTATCATTTGATATCATCATTTGAGGCGTTCAACCGTGCGCGACACCGAGTTACACGCGCTCACCACAAATCTCTCGCACTTCTCTCGCGATTGCGACGCGCCGCCGTTGACTCTCCAGTCGACGATGGTCGTTTGATAACTATAAATTTAGTTACAGATGCGGCCGGCACACTGCGGGATGACAACGACGACCCGTGCAAAAAAGTCCCTCTTCTCCGCGCGCCGAGGTATCTCATTACGATTTACCGCAAATGAGGGATCCGAACGATATATCGCGAATGGGGGGGAGGGGGGGTGACAAGGCAACGAAATCGGGCGGGCGGATGCGCTCGTTGGATTTGACGAATTGCAGAATTTCCGGGAAGAATCTCGATGTGTCCCAGAGACAAAAGGAGTCTCTTTTCTCGCCAAAGCTCGAGCGCAATCGCGCGACGGCCCGTTTCTCCAGATTCTCCCAAGGACCGAGGTTACCGTGCAGACTTACACGATGCGCGTTGAATAATTCAGCGTTAATACCGGTGAAACTTAAGAAAACGCAAGCGAGCGGATGCGTCAGGTTGGAACACCTTCTCGTGTAAACTTGTCGGCGGGACGAGAAGACTTCGAAAATGTATCGAGAAAACTGACGCGTTTTCGGAACATTTTTGAAATCGAACGATCCGACGTCGAAAGGACTCCTCTCACGGTCCGATCCTTTTTTTCAGCATCCACCCTGCTTCGTTCTTCAATTCCACAAGTATTTCTTTCGATTTCGCGGCAACATTCATCGCTCTGAGATTCTTGCGGCAGGTAACGCAACTTTACGGTACGTTACCGTAGCAGTGCGGACATGTCCTGAAGAGACAGAGAGGGGAGAGAGAGAGAGAGAGAGAGAGAGAGAGAGAGAGAGAGAGAGAGAGAGAGAGAGAGAGAGAGAGAGAGAGAGAGATTCTCCGTTGATCGCACGGAGACGTGCGCAACTCAAAACGGGAAAGACCCGATGACGATCGCGCTACGGAGACTGCGAGAAATGAGAGGATCTCGACGGAGTAAAGCAGACGTCCCGTGAAGAGGACCGAAAGGGCGGTAGCGAGCTTGCGGGAGCGAGAAAAAGTAACGGGGGAGAAAAAGGGAGAGAAATATAACACCGACGGGGCTCGGATGGAAGAGTGAGGCGAGTAGAGCGCGGAAAAAGAGAGACGACCGCGCGCGCTTGCGGAAGAGAGCATCGGCTCGATCGGCGCGGCGTGGCGCGGTACGGTGCGGTATGATGTGGTGTGGTGTGGTGTGGCGTGGTGTGGCGTGGCGTGGCGTGGCGTGGCGTGGCGCGGCCCGACGCGGCGCGACGCAACGCGGCGCGGCACGGCGCGATGTGGCGTTCGAGTGAGATAGAAGCAGAACGAGAGAGAGAGAGAGAGGAGAGAGAGAGAGAGAGAGAGAGAGAGAGAGAGAGACGAGTCACGCTAGAGCGACGAGGACGACGAAGAGGCATAGAGAACACCCGAGCGACCGACGGAGAGACGGCGGGGCAGAGTCGGGCTAGCGCGCGGGCGCCCGAGCGAGACCGAGCCGAGCCGAGCCGAGGGCAGACAGTGCCGTTGGCGTAGTAACGCGTTGAAGCTCGTATACCGAGCCTGCCTGCCTGTGCCTGCTTGCCTGCCTTGCCCCCTTCCTCCCCCAACATCCCGCAGCCAACCGTTCGTCGCCGACTGTGCGACTCTATCCGTGTGAGCGCGCGTCTGTATTGCCGCGTCTCTTTGCGTGGTGCCTCTGTCGGTGGCGAATACACGCGAGCGCCCTGATCTTCAGCGTGTGTGCGCGTGTCCATGTGGCCGCGTGTGGATGGGGATGGGGGTCCCGGCCCGGCTCGGCTCGGCTCTCTCGGCCCGTCCCGTCCCGTCCCGTTCCGCGCGCGGAGTATCGCACCGTTCGCCACCCGCTATCCACAGCAGTTTCAGCCAGCCCGCCCGCCCGACTGCCTGCCAGTGTCCCACCGCACGCCGAACCGTTTGCACTCAGAAGCGATCAGGGAGCCCTTCTCTGCCTCCCTCCGACTACTCCGCTCTTCACTCGCTCTCTCTCTCTCTCTCTCTCTCTCTCTCTCTCTCTCTCTCTCTCTCTCTCTCTCGTACGCGCTCTCTCGGCTTTCCGACGCCACCCCACTTCGCGTCACCCATAGTCGATCTCTCTCTCTCTCTCTCTCTCATCTCCCTCGCCTCCGCTCCGCTCCGATTTTCTCTCTTTTCCTCTCTCGCACCTCCGTCGTCGTCTCTTCTCCTCTCTCTCTCTCTCTCCCTCTGTCGAGCTTGCTCTCTCTCCGTCTGTAACACGGCGGCGTTTCTCCCGCATCTCGCTCTGTCCCATCGAGGTCTCTCTTCTCGTCCTTCTCCGGCAGTCGAGTTACTCCGGCAGTCGGCGAACGCACGAGCACCGGCTATCGTTCTCTCCCTCTCCGATCTTCGTCGGCTCATTCTCCATCTCGCTCGTCCTCTCTCGTGTCCCAAGCCCCTCCCTCCTCTCTCGCTCCGTCTCCTTTCCCCCGTCTCTCTTCCTCCCACGTGTTTAGCCCCCTCCTCCCCCGCTTAGCCCTCCGCCGCGCCACTCCACGCTCCCTCCACGTTCCGCTCGCGACTCGGCTGTCTCCGTCGCGCCGCGGCAGCCAGCCGTCCTCCCTCTCGTTCCACAACTCCTCTCTCGTCCGACCGTCCCGCTCTTCTCCCTCTCGCTCCAGAGTAACGCCGGTGTGTACTCCCGCTGTCACCTGATCGCGGGACGCTTTTCGCGGGTGAGATACCGCTCGGCCACCGAGTCAACCCAGTCTGTCGGCGCTCGCTCTTGCTCCGGTTCTTCCTTTTCGCTTTCTTTCTCTCTCTCTCTCTCTCTCTCTCTCTCTTGCTCTTTCTCTCGCTCTATCCGTCTGTCCTCGTCCTCTATCTCTCTCCTTCGTTCTCTCTTTATCTCTCTCTCTCTCTCTCTCTCTCTCTCTCTCTCTCTTTCTTTCTTTCTCGCGCTCTCGTTCTCTCTTTCTCGCTCGCTCTGCCTTCTATTCCCTAAACCCCCTTCTCCACTGCTCTCCCCTCCCCCGCCGCCTTCCTCTCTTTACTCTTCCACCGCCACTCTTCCTTCTGCTCGTCGTCGTCGTCGCCGTCGTCGTGGTCTTCCTATACTCGCCTCGTTGCCGCGCGACGTCAACATCGTCGGCTGGTGGTTACCCGGAGGAAGAGAGGCGAGAAAAAAGGAAAGCGAGCACAGAAGCGGCCGCCACCGACGGCGCTCGTCCGCGACCGGGTTGCGGACGATCTCTCGCCTCTTCCTCCTTTCACGGATCTTCGCCGGCACGTTGGAGTAGCTCAGAGAGAGAGCGAGAGCGAGAGAGAGAGAGAGAGAGAGAGAGGGAGAGAGAGGGTGGGAGAAAGAGAGAGGGAGAGGGAGGTGACACTTTCGGACAGACACGCGGCACGAATCGGCGGACGCGCGCGAAGAGACACGGAAGAACCGCGCTCTCCTCGGATCAGTGACGGTGGCGAGAGATCTCTTTGGTTTTTTCTCTCTCTTTCTCTCTCTTTCTCTCTCGCGCGCGCGCGCGCGCGCCTTGCGATCTCCACCCGCGGAGCCCTTTGTCCCGAAAGCGTGTGAGTGTGCAGTGGATTCGCCGGTGTTTGGCCAGTGGATAAAAGCGACGACAGTGCGTGTGATCTTGGTTTGACAGTATCGTGGACAACTATATACGCAAAAGTGAGTTCCAATCGTTACTTATAGTTTCTTGGTTATCTATGGCTTTTCCTCGCTGCACGCGTCTCAAATACTCAAGCACACCCCTCGTTACTCTCCTCGACGTAGATAGCGCGAGTCGAGGGAGAATCCCTCGTCGTGAAGTTCACGTCAAGTTCGATCGTGATCGCGCGCGCGTGAGAGGCGCGTCTCGGAAAAATCGGCTGTTTCAGCAAGTTGCTGGTCGATTGTTCGCCCATCGAACATTCGCGGTCTCGGCTCGCCTAAGAGATTTCTCTTCCTGCGGAGGGTAGTGTCGAGTGCGATTTTTAATTTAATACGTCGGCCGATGTGTGTTCGACAGCCGCATGTTTCCCCGACTCGCCGAATCTTTCATCTTCTGGAATCGAGTGACCGATCGATTACGGCGCGACTGTAATTTATTAAATTCCTCGCGCGTATCCCCCGCGTCGCCGTTCTCCTTCCGCTCGGAAACCGACGGACCGAATGATCACGTGAACGCGACGCCCACGTAGAATCGGGCAAATTGACCGTGCGTTTCTTCTCAGCAGCTTTCGCGCTGTCTTTTCCGGCTCGTTTATATCGCGGCACCGGCGTCTACATCGCCAAGGATCGCGGCTCTCCTGTGGCGCGAAAAGGGCGACGCTTCTCGGTGACGATCGATCGATGCGCGCCGACGGCGGGCGCGGATCGACGCGAAATCCGAGTTATTTCCCGAACGTCGCTCTGGAGTGGAGTCGGAGCTGTCGTTTGTTCTCTCTTTCGCTCGCTCGCTCGCTCTCTCTCTCTCTCGCTCTCTCTCTCTCTCTCTCGCTCTCTCTCTCGCTCTCTCTCTCTCTCTCGCTCTCTCGCTCTCTCTCTCTCTCTCTCGCTCTCTCTCTCTCTCTCTCTCTCTTCCTGTCTATCGCGGGACGAGAAGTAGGCAACCCTCGTCGCCAGGGGTGGGAACGACGGAGGAGAGATAGCGACGTCCGTTCCGGCGGTGCCCGTTGCGGGCCGGTCGCCACACCCGCCCGTTTGGGAATTCAACTTACTGCCACTCGGGACTCGCGCGGAGTGGAGCGCCGGACGGTTTCTCCGGGATCTAACGGGCCGTCTCGCTCGCGCGCGAAAGGCGCCGCTTCGCATTGGATTTAATTAGTCGAACCTTTTGTGAACTTTTTCCCGCGGCCGCCGGCTTTTCCCATCGGCGTCGGGCGCAACCGGTCGCGGGAAATCGCGCCGGACGCGTCGCCGTCGAGGCGCCGTCCCGCTTGACTTTCGTGCGCAATCCGGCTTGGCGCGCGCGCGCGCGCCCGCGACGGAGATCTCGTCGTTGTCGATTTTGCGTAATGTTTCATGAGACGAGATTTTCCGACCGCACGCGCGCCTTGCAGGTTCCTCCTCGACGGCGGTGTTTCGTCTTGACCGTGAACGAACGTTGAGAAACGGCAACGTGTGTAGGTTGGATCGGAGGTCCGAAGTAGTCGTTTGCGCGGCGTTTTTGCAACGCGTCATTATGGGCGATTAGTTACTTCCGATTTCGCGCGAGAATGTTTAGCGGAGACTTCGTCCCCGTCGGATCGCCGCGGCTATTCGTGCTTTGAGTTTCTTTGTGTCGGTGAGGATGCTTCGGCAGCCGGCTCTCATTAATGGCTCTCATTAACGCGATTAATCTTATATAACATATCTACGGGACAGTAAGTGGCGAAGATTGCGAAATTCGCTTTTCATTCTCGTTTTCTTTCTCGTGCTCCTCTCGCTCCTCGGATTAGACGCCTTTGTAGGCGACGGATCAGGCGTGAAATTGCAGCGCGGAAAAGAGCGAGACGCAGTGCGTGTCGCAGCTAGGATATTCACCGTCGTGCAGGACGCGTCGGCCCTGATTGACGATTCTCCTTAGGTAGCGATCCGATCTGAAAGCGTAAAGCGACTAATCAAACTATCCTCAGTCTTCGCTGGTTTGATGGGTGATCGATAAAAGTAGTTAAGGATGGATATAGCTGGTCGCATAACTCCTCTCGGCTAAACAAAGTTACAACGAGACCGGAATACCATTGTGCAAATTTGCTTGCATCTCGCGCGCGCGCGCGCGATCCGGTTTCCCTCGATCCTCCGGCGCCGGGGAAATAAAACACGTCGCTCGGATGAAGGGATTTTCGTGGGTCTCGCGGCTATAGATGCTCGTCGCGACACGACACGACGCTTGCTCCGGGTGGTGTCACTTTGCGGCAACTCGAATACATCGCGCTAATTACCCGGTCCGTTATAATCCCCGTCGTGCGCCGAGCGAGACCCACCTGAAATTCTGCGCGGCTGACTGCTTGCCGCATGTCAGAGACAAAACGTGTCTATATCGATCGTAAATTGTCCCGACTATCGTCGCTTTACGGAGTCCTCGCGGAGGCCGCGCTTGTCAGCTCGAGTCCGTCGCCTCGCGACCCGCGAGGTCGTCGGAGCAATTGCCCGTCGGCGCGATCTTTCAGCCGCAACGACAGTGCGCTCGGGCTGCTCTCGCGCCGAAATCGACGGCGCCTCGCGATTTCCGTAGTCGCGCACCGACCAGCGTTCTCGTCCGGCGATTTTACCGTGACTCGCGAGCGCCATAATTAATGGAAAGTCCCCCTGGTCACCATCGCGGTCGAGAACTCAGCGGAATAACGGACACTGCGACGGAGAGCGGCTTTTTACGCGACCGAGATCCTTGCTCTCCTCCGAGTCCGGTTGGCGCGTAGAAATTTTTTCCCCGGCGAAATCGCTCCCGCTCGCGATTAATTTAATTCCGCGGCAATTATCATCGATATCGCCGATGATACTCCTCGCAAAGCAAGCACCGATACATCCCACACACGCACACACACACACGCATGGGTATCTGGCGTTTCGCGTTAAGAGACAAAGCGCGAGTTTCCAACGCGCACGCAATAAATTTCGCTCTCGTTTGCGATAACAAATAAAAAAAAAAAAGCGCGTCCCGCTCGTGCGGACGGTTAAAATAGCGGTCGCGAATTTGCCGATTGGCCACGAGACGCCGTTACGAAAGCGATCGACGGGTCGGCGGGACGGGGAGGTGGAGGAGGAGGAGGAGGAGGAGGAGCAGCAGCAGCAGCAGCAACAGCAGCAGGAGGATGGTGGTGTCCTGCGCGGGAAACGGATAACCGAAACTGCCGCGTATGCACGCGTACAACGGGTGGGCGTACGTGGTAATACAGTGGCCATGCTGCGAGCTTGATTACACATTGCGATCACGAGTGTCCCACGAGCGGGCGGACATAAGGCCTTTTGTCGCACTATGGCCTGCGGGCAGGAAGCACGTAGCGTGACACCCGGCCGCTCGGTGTGCGAGCGGCACCCACATTATACGCCGAGTAATACGTACATGAAGGGAGATAGAGCGAGAGGGAGAGAGAGAGAGAGAGAGAGAGGGGGGAGGTAGGGAGGAAGAGCGATATACAGAGAGAGAGAGAGAGAAAGAGAGAAGAAAGAGAGAGAGAGAGAGAGAGAGAGAGAGAGAGAGAGAGCGACAGGCCGCCGCGGTAAAGGGGGCAGGAGGTTGAATCGAGGTGCAGGAGGGGGACAACGGACGGTAGGGGACGCGCTATAATACTCGGTGGTGGTCCCATGCCACTACGTGACTTGTGTGCGGCTCTAAGCCGAGACATATCGCCGTCCCGGGGCCCCGTTTCTGCCACCTAAAGGAGCGCGGATATATCGCGCCGAGGCCATTATACCGGCTACCGTGCCGGACGGTTCGATCGGCCTTATTGAATTAGCTCTGCCCTCGCACGTTCCGCCGCGCCGCTTGGGTTTGTCTCCCGATTGTTCGTCGCGCGAGTTATCTAAGCGCAGTCACCGCGGCCAGCGGTGTACACCACACACATCGGCTACGGTGGCTAACCTAATCGGGTCAACTATTCGCGTGAGCGTGGTTCTCTTGGCCGCGCGCGCGCGCGCGCGAGAGTTATCTCCTTTTTTCCGGGGCCCCGCTTGTTCCTTTTTCTCTCGTCGCGGGCTCTCTCCGCCCGGAAGAGCCGCGAACGTTTGCGAACGGGTAGGGTCGCGCTCGGCGAGCTCGGAACACGCCGCGATAACTCGATTTAGAGCCTCAGCCGCTCTGGACACTCGTCAAGCTTTTTTTCCCGGGGACATTTATCCAGCTGTAACACGCTCCGAACGGCGCGATTTCTGGAGAAAAAGAAGCTCGCGCGAGAGTCGCGCGCGCAGCGTCGCTCGCAGCGGCCTGATGTTTCCACCTCGACCTAGACGAGCTGTTGATACATCCCGGACGGGATTTCGATGCGATTTACCGGAGAATATTTCCCCCGCTTTAAATCATCGACTTTAGCAGCTCGGAGTCGGCGGCGTGATAACGAGACACTCGTCTCTCGCTTTGAACCCGATGAGATTTATCGATCACGTTTGATCCTTACTTTTTCGACGTATCCCGACGTTGCGACGCAAGCCGAGGATATATCATGTCGACGTTCCCCGAGCGATGTCCAGCCGAGGAGGACACTTTCTCGCAATCCAGGACCAGGGACGTCCCTTTTCGTCGACCGCCGCAGGTCGACTTTATCCGCTTTAGTCTCCCCATTGATTACGTCTGCGAGTTTGGTCCGCTGGCACGGGCTAAATGCGGCTGCGGTAGTTAATAGGTACTTAATCGAACCATTAATTAAGGCTCTCGAAATAAGCCTTTTCGCGCGCACGTGCACGCGCACGCGTGATCGTATCTCCGCGCGGGACAATCGCGCTGGTTATCTGGCGGTGATATTCCCGCGACTCTTTTTTATCGTATTTCGTGTTTACCCTCGCCCCCTATCTCTCTCCTCCCCCCTCTCCCCCCTCTTTCTCTCTCTCTCTCTCTCCCTCCCCCCCATTCTCCTTCTCTTCCCGGCACTCCGTCATTTGAAGGAGTCCACGTATACCGCGACCCGGCCATTATGCCAGCCACCGTGCTAGACGCTTCGATCGGCCTCATTGAATTAGTTCCCGCCTGTGGGCTCGTTTCTCGATTGTCCGGCGTAAACCGCAGAGGCCTGCCATTTTACTCGGGGAACCCGACGGACCGGCCGGCCGGCCGCGGCCGGTCGGCTCGCTGATTGACATTCCCGAGGGCGGTAATCGCGAAAATAAGAACTCCGTCCCAATGCCAGAGACCCTCGCGTGACTGACTATCGGAGCGATCTAAAGCTGAAATATTTAAGGATATATCCGTGGTCTGTTATAAATGTAACATCTCTAAGTATAACCCATCTTTATCCTGAATTCAGGAATCTCGACTGTGATTCCGTCGTCTCGCCGGCGTACCCGGCGACCTTAAATCAGTCACTGAGCCGCGACGACGTGTCCGACGAATGCATAAACTCGCGTTTATAAATTAATTAGTCGCTACAGAACGCGATAGGGAACTAGCTTCTCGCGCGCGCTCCGTCTTCCGTGCAGATTCCTCGATCAAGTCAGCGTCGATTCTTAATGTCGATGCAGGCCAGACGCGTCCCAGTCCCGTGCCATTCGCGACTGGTATTTCGCGTCTCTTCTTCTTCTTTACCGTTTCTTTTTTCGCCCGTCAGCCAGGAGAAACCTGCGGCTGCGCTCGCGAGACTATGCCGCCGATCGTCGTGCTCGTTGAACGTGTCCTGCCACCATCAACGATTTACGCATTAGCGCAAGGCCCAAGGCCGACGATGGAATTGGCCGTTTCCGCGGCTTCGCGCGAGTGTTCACTTTCAAGTGATATCCCTTTGCCGCAAACAGCCCGCCGGTATTCCGAGGATTATCCAGTTTCAGCGTGTACGACCTAAGGGCGCCCCAAGTATCGTCGGCTCGGGCCGCTCTGTGTAGCGTAGCTGTCGATCCGGACGCGCCGATCGACCTTATTGAATTAGTTTCCGGCTGCTGGCTTCGCGCTGGCGCCGCGATTGCGGAATGTACGTAGCTATTATTCGGCCGCGCTCGCGCTCCGCGCGATACGTGATCCGCGAAAGCGCTCCGCCGCACTTTGCGCACGAATCCGTCCGCTCCGCCGCGTAAATTTATATTCAGCGTAGCGAGCGTTTAACGCGGCCGGGAGAAAGAGCACGAGGGAGAGAGAGAGAGAGAGAGAGGGAGAGAGGGAGAAAGAAAGGTGGGTGGGTAGAGACTCGCGGAAAGAGCGAGCGAGCGAGCGAGCGAGCGAGCGCCGGCTTTTTATTGCGAGCGCAGAAAAATCGTTTGACGGTGGAAGAGAAGTTTCATACATAATTCAGCTCTCAACTCGGCCGCTGTATGGAGCGACGGCGCGACCGACGCTTCGGCTTATCGCGTTTAATGACTCCGCAGACACAACGCGCATCTTTCTCTTTCGGCGGCTGTCCACGTCTCGAAAAATTCTCGAAACGTAGCTGGGGGGGTGTCCGCGGCGACACGAAGGACGCGACGGGACGGGACGGTCGTGCGCGATCCTCGCGGGACCACGATGCTAGGTGGAACGCGCTCGTCGGAGGGCGTGACGTCGAGGGTGTCGACGTGCAGCCTAGGGATGAGAGAAGCGTGCGAAAGGGGGTGGCTTCATTTTTAGGTCGTTATACTCATTATTTTCCTGTCCCACCGACGGCCAGCCGCTTCACCGCACGGGGCCCAGATCGTTCGATCGGGGCGTTGTTTTTTTCGTCCTTTCTTTTTTGTCGCCGATGACACACACACACACACATGCGCATATACACGAACGCGCGCTGCATTTTTCGGTGTGGTGCCGAGCGTCCGGATGCGTCCGCGCGAGGCGGAAAAATGGCCCACGCGCGAAAGGAAGGCCGTGGCGGACGGCTAACCGGTTCCTCCACTTATAGCGCGTCCTCCGAGCTTAATTATGTCAGCCTCGTCGGCTATCCTAGTGCCGTTCTTGCGAAAAGTTCTTGTGTCCTCGTATATGCCATAAACGCATGTATAATAACACGTTGTTTATAATTGACGTCGGCGACGCCGACGAAGAGGCGCGAAGCTTCCTCTGTCTCAGACACGAACGAGCGATATTGCCGAAATGAAAGTTGGTCAGTCGCTTTTCATTCGTCGTGCATCAGCGCGGATTGAACAATGCAAATCGCTCCCCGCAAAAGTGTACGAGATAGAGATGTGTCAGCGACTTTGTCAGTGCCCCCGCAGTGGCGAGTTTCGAGACGTTGAGAGTCTAAGTAGGTCGGGAAACAGAAACCGATAGCGCATCTCCGCTTTAGCGACGATTTTACCATTTTGTCTCAGTCTCGAAATAAATAGCTCCTGCGCCCGACACTCTCTCTCTCTCTCTCTCCCTCTCCCTCTCTCTTTCTTTGGCTGCTAACAGGTCTACGATCCTCCCGTCGAGTAAATTCAATAGAGAAGTCTCGATCGGATCGGGCGCAAAGCGGAGATTTCACGGCGGGAGTTTTCGCGAGGTGGGTGCCCCGTGCCGTCCGTTCCGTTCCGCCCCGCCCCGCCCCGCCCCACCCCGCCGTGTCTATTATCGGACAGAAAGTGGAAGGCGACGGGAGTCAATTTCCCGAGTGAATTTCTGCCGTGTATTATATCCGAGCAGCTATAATCTACTTCTCCTACTGGCGATAGTCTCCACCCACTCGGCTAGTAGTCCATTAGCGGCGCCCTCGCTTAAACGTTTCCGCCGCTTAATTGCGCATAGCTAATTTTCCTCGTCACATTTCGTCCCTCTTTTGTTTCCAGGCGCAGCATCGCCGCCGCCGCCACTGCCGCCACCGTCGTCGTCGCCGTCGTCGTCATCACTACCACTGCCACCAGCACTACTGTCGCCCCCCCAAAGGAAAACAACGGGGGGTTTCGGCAACAATTTGGTATCATTAACAGCATCGCCAACGACTCGCTACCTGAGCATCAGGTAGTCGACGTGACGACGGACGTCGTCACGCTGTTTTTCGTGAGTGATCGTGAATGGTCTCAGTGGTGTGACTGTGTGTATCTCTCCTCGCCATCAGTGGCTCAGTCAGTGTCCATGTGTTCGAGTCGGTTGTGCTCACGGCACAGTCTTCAAGGCAACACCGACCGTGGTAGTTAGACGATATACGCGTGCTACAATGGCCAGTGCGACGGTGATGGGTCTGCGTCGCAGAGCGCCGGTGAACAACTCGCCAACTCCTTCCGGCCAGTCGCCGGCCACGGCGACGAGCGGCACGTCGTCCAGCAAGCGCTCGAGAAGCGAGAACAACAACAGCCCGTCCCATGGTAATCTGAACTCGATGAGCGGCAACGGCGGCTCGCGAGACGAGCCGCCGACGAAGAAGTCCCGCGGGACTTCGACGAGCGGAGCGAAGGGTAGTAGTGGCTCGTCGTCGTCGTCGTCGTCGTCTTGTCCCTCCTCCTCCTCCGCGTCCCTCACGTCGTCGTCCGCCACCGCTACTTGCTCGACATCCTCCTCTTCCACCTCCTCCTCCTCCTCCTCCACCGTCGCTGCCGCATCCTCGTCCTCGGTCACGAGTACCTCGGCCGACAGCCAGAACTCGAGGAGTCGCGGAACTTCCGTCTCGAGATCGGCCACTCAGACGAAGTCGTCGTCTACGTCGACCGCCGCCACGGCCGCCTCGGCGGCGGCGGCGGCGGCGGCGGCGGCCGATATATCGAACGGCTCGGTGCTCTCCACCAACAGCTGGCCGACCACGTCAGACGTGGCGTCCTACGCTTCTGTGACCGGGTTGGGCTTGACGGGCGGACAGACAGCTGGTCTCTGCGCCGGAAGCCTCGGTATACCTCCTACACCGATATCCTACATGTCGACCTCTATGGCGACCTTTGTCGGCAACGCCACGAATCTCGGCAAGAGCTCGTCCGTCTCGTACCTCGACATCTCCAACATGACCGGTGGCTCCTTGGCGTCCGGCACCGCCAACTCTCTCAACGGCGGTTACCCCGCCAACGGCGCCGCGGTGGACGCGAAGAACGGCATGGCGATGCCTCCTTACGCGGGGATGCCGGCCTCGGGTGTGAGCAACAACGCCAGCGGTGCTGCTCCCTACGGAGGCATACAGAAAGGACAAGCGGCGAACGGCGCCGACGGGAAGCCCTCGTCGCGGAAGTTCCAAAACGACACTATGTTCAACACGTATCAGCCGTGGGTCATCAAGACGTACGGCGACCTGGCCAAGACGAAGACCATCACGATCAAGAAGTACGCGCGCATCCTCAGGACATTGCGGGGCGAAGAGGCGAACAGCGCGGAGAACAGCAAGTTTCGCTTCTGGGTCAAGAGCAAGGGTTTCCACATCGGCCAGCCGGAAGGCTACGACGCGAAACCGGCCGACAGGATTATCGGACGTCACGCCGTCACGAACCCGGGATTGGATCCGCCGCTCTACGTGCCCACGCAGCTGCCGCACAACAAGGTAAGAGAGTACGTCCAAAGCGGATTATCCTTCCCTGTAATCGCTCGCGCGCGCGCGCGCACGCGAGAACCGACGCGGCGCGTCTCTGTCTTTCCCTCGGATGCCGCCGTAATCGCTCGCAGCCAGGAGGGAGCGCGATGAATTTCGCGAGCGTTTGCGAAAGTCGTCGTCTCTCCGTGATAAAGCGCGTCGATAGCGCGGCGGAGAGAGACCCCTGCGATCGGCAAACGAGACGCGACAGATAAATTGGGCGCTTCGGCCGCGCGCGCGCGCGCGCGCGCGGAAATGCGGCGGAGATTACACGGCCGACTTGTTCGTGGACGACGACGACGTCTCCTACTTACGAAGTCTCAGATATGTCGAGTATTCGCGTCGTGCCAAGTGGGAGGGGGGGGGGGAATCTCGAGTGAAACACCGCTCGTATTTTTGCGCGACCGACGATTCCATTTCTGATCGCGCCGCCGCCGTCGTTAGAGGAGGTCGAAATTTGCATATTAACGCATTAACAGTTTAACGCTCGCATTTCTCATCGTATTTTTTGCGCGGCGTGTACTTGAAGAGCGAGAGGTGATTGCGGAAAATGGAGACAGAGAGAGAGAGAGAGAGAGAGAGAGAGAGAGAGAGAGAGAGAGAGAGAGACACAGAGAGGTTATAGTAATTTCGTTATGCGCCGACCGTACGTGGAACGGTAATAACGTCGCGGGTAACTGTCCTATATTCAGCCGTTCCGTAGATTCCGCCTTCAGTTCCTTATTCCGCGAAAATTGACTTTCGGCCTTTTATTCGCGCAGATTGGCCGTTTCGCGCGCGCTCGGAGAGCGCACCAGCGTGCGGCCCACTGAAATGCGGGCTTTACGGGTCGGTGGATTTATCTCCATGGCGAGTAGAAAAACCGCGAGAAATCTCGGGTGCGGCACGCTCGACAGAGTGCGAGAGAAAAGCGAGAGAGAGAGAGAGAGAGAGAGAGAGAGGGGGGAGAGAGAAAGAAAGAGAGAAGGAAAAAGAGACAAAAGGAGGGAGACAGAGAGTTTGCCGCGCGCAGATAAGGCGGCCGCTTAATTGCGTCTAATTATGTATATACGCGCGTGCAACGGCGCGGCCGGTGGCCGACGCCGCCGCCGTCGTCGTCGTCCGCCGCCGCCGCCGCCGCCGCCGCCGCCGCTGCTGCTGCTGCTGCTGCCGCCGCCACCGCTACCGCCGCCGCCTCGTCCGATGCTCTGTCGGAGAGGGGAAAACCGTCGGTGCAACGGCGCTTCGATCCAGTTGTCGGAGCTTTGCCAAGTACGGAGAGAAAGAAAGAGAGAGAGAGAGAGAGAGAGAGAGAGAGAGAGGGAGGGAGGGAGGGAGGGACAGGGAGAAAGGGAGGAAGAAGGAGCGAGAGAGGGTCCGTTCACCACGCCGTTCGCCAGGTCGGTCGGTCGGTCGGTCTCTTTGGCTTCCGCAATTTTCTATCCGCGGCGCCTCCACGGGAATTCGGCAAAAGGAAAGCCGCGAGAACCGCTCCTTTCCCCTCCTGCTTCTCTCTCTCTTTCTCTCTCTGTCGCCCCCCTTCCTCCCCTCTATTTTATCTATCCGTCTGTCACCTTTCTCGTGTGATACGCCACTTTAGGGCTACCCGATAACGCGTTAAATTACTTACGGCAGCGCGCCGCGTCATCGCGATGCCGTATCGAAGTACTCTGCAGCTCCGGATATTCCGGGAATATCTCACGATTTACTCGCTCCGGAATGTCTTGATTAAGTCGTCGCGTTCGCGGATAACGAAGCGGCAGCCTAATCTGTAAAATCGGTTTATATCTCGACGATCCGAGGGCAAGTCCCTCGGCTGGGTAAGTACCGGTTAGGCGCGACCGACTCACGGTGCATCGCCCCTTGGACGCGGATCGGAATCACCGAGTCGCGCGATCGTGAAACTTTTCTCTCAGCCCGTGGCGAGTTTCTTTCGCTAATTCGACGCGCGGGGAGATCGCCGGCGCGCCGCGCCGCGAGTGAGTCATCGAAAATCGCCGCGCGACGTACGCATCGTCCCGCCATCGGCGATTGTTCCCGTGAGCTGCGCCGCGCCGTGCCGTACGGATACGACGGACGGGGCCGCGTTATCATCTACGCGTATCTGTGAGAGGCGTCGGAACGTGGTGAGCGAGACGACGCTCTCTCGCGCCGTGCACTTTTTCCGCGTCGCTCCATTACTTTTCACTCGATCGCGAGAAGCGGACGCTTTCACAGTTCTCCCTGCTTAACGTAGCATACTGCTACCGATCTCGCGTCGGAGGAGGAAAAAGGGAAGGGAAAAAAAGCAAGACAGACACTGCGACTTCGTCCGAATCACCGTCGAGATTACAGCCTTGTATCCGCCCGGCGTATTTCCACGTCGACAAATCGCCACCAGCGGATTTTGCGCCGCTGCAAAATCACGTCTGGGTTCGTGCGGCGCGCCGCGTCCAAGTTCGTCTCGTATCGGCGATTCGTCGCTACTCGCGTCGCGTTTTCCGCGATCGATCTCGCTCGTTACGCCACGGGAATTACGGGGTAATTCGGGGGTAATTTGTATTTTCGTTTCGCGTGTATTTCAATCTCCCCGCAAGAAAATCAAGTTCTCCTTCTCCTCCTCCTCCTCCTCCTCGCTGAGGGATGTAATTCACACGGACGTGGGTAACCCGACACGAGGACGTCGCACGCGAGGAAAAAAAGGAGAAAGAGAGGAGAAACGACAGCTCTCGTGACATCTTTCTCCCGAGCCTTTCTAGAAACGCGCGCGGCTGGCTCTATCAGCGCGGCGCGGCGTGGCGAGGCGGCGGTAGCCGACGTGCGATCGCCGCCGTCGCGGTGCCGTGGGAGTCCGGGCGCCGGCGGGAAGCGGCGCCGCGCGCGGCGCTCTTTTTCTCACGGAAGGAAGAAAGAGCGCGACGGGGAGCGCTTAGAATTCCGCCGGCTCCGCTCGCCGACCATCCATCGATCGGGATTCAGTTCCGGGTGGTCAGAACAGAAAGAGGATCCATCCTCTCTCCTCCGTCCGTTGCGCCCAGCATCGGCATTCACGGTATTTTGCGTGCCTTCCAGTTCCTTCTCCCCTCCTAGTCTCCTCGCCGTCCCGTCCGATTTCCGTCCTTCAGCGTGCGTTCGCTCGCTCGCTCGCTCGCTCGCTCGCTCGCTCGCTCGTTCGTCCGTCCACCAGTTCGCAAAATATCGCCCGCTTGCGACACTCATTTTTCACGGTTGACCGTCGTCGAGGGCCGTGAGATAACAACGGCGTGGAGGAAAGGTCCGCCACCGCAATATCTCTCACGGGAGGAACCCTTCTCTTCTGCTCCGCTCGTTCACTCGCTCGCTCGCTCGCTCGCTCGTCCGTCCGCCCTTCTTCACTCGCCGAGGGTGGCAGAAGAGTAGGTCTGGCCGGCTAGTCATTAGTCACTTTCCGAAGCAGAGGCACAGACAGGCCGCGGCTCTCTTCCTCCCGCGCGCCTCGCTTCCTCCTGTTCCGCGTCGGTGCCTCTCTCTTTCTCTTTCTCCTCGCGCCGCTCGCCCGCTCTCTCTCTCTCTCTCTCTCTTTCTTTCTCCCTCCACATCCTCGCGCGCCTTCTCGCTCCTTCTCTCGCTGCTCGTCCCGCTCTGTGTACCCGTCTACCGGTCGGTCGCTCGCACTACTCTTCTCTCGCTCTTTCCCTCCGTCTCTCTCTCTCTCTCTCTTTCTCTCTCTCTCTCTCTCTCTCTCTCGGTCTTTCGCTCACTCGCTCTCTCGCTCTGCCGCTTCGTCTCTCGCCGCGGGGTTCCGTGCCTTCCTCGTGCCTCTCGCGCGCGCACGGTCTCTCCACACCGGCCACCCTTCCTTCTCCCCCCATGCATCCCGCCCTCGCTTCGACTACGAGACTCCGACTCCGAGACCCAGAGCGGTAAGTCTCCCCTCTCGGGTTCCGTCGGCTGTGGCTTCGAGACGTTCTCGCTTGCTCCCCTCGCAGAAGAGAAACGCCGCCGTCGCTGCTGCCGCCGCGCTCGTGTTCGCTTCCTCTCCCGGTGCTAAGCCTCTCGCGCGTCTATCTTGATTGAGAGGGAGCGCTGGCGTCTCTCTCTCTCTCTCTCTCTCTCTCTCTCTCTCTCTCTCTCTCTCTCTCTTTCTCGCGTTTCTCTGTCTCTCTCCGTCCTCGTCTCTCGCAGCCGCGCTGCGGAGTAAGAGAGAGAGAGAGAGAGAGAGAGAGAGAGAGAGAGAGAGGGAGAGCGAGAGAGAAAGCGGCCTTACCGTGCCTATGGTGAGCCCGACGAGGACGTAGCGAGAGAGAGGTTGTCATTGATCGTCCCGACTGCGGCTCACGAGCCGCTAAAGGTCCCGTACAAGCAAGGGCCCGCCGGCATGTAGACGCGGCGATGTTGCGTGCGTCGTGTGTGCGCGCGCGCGCGCGTGTGTGTGTGTATGCGCGCGCGCGAGCGCAAGCGAGCACACGTGCGTAAGCGCGCTCCGTCCGTTTCGTGCCTGCGTGCGTGCGACGACGAAAAGCTTTTTCTCCCCGCGCCGCTCGAATTGCAGTGTTATTAGGTTGGTCGCGCCGATCAGATATGTAATGCAACGCGACGCGGCGCGGCGCGGCACGGCGTGGCCGCGATGTTTGATAAGAGCGCGAGAAACATGATAATCATCCGGCGCGAGTCCTGCGGCGCGGCTTAAGTGAAAAAAAAAAAAAAGAAATGAACAGCATCGCGGCCGTCCGAGGCGCGGGGATAATTTCACTCGAGGGTCGTTTCGAAAGAGCCCGGTGCCTTGGATCCGCGCGAGCTGAAAATCCGGCGTTACGCTCTCTGCATCTCGCCGTCTCGTCGCGCTCTCCGCGCGTTGGAAAAATGTGCGCTCGCGCTCGCATATCGCTCGCATGCCGCGATAGGTCTCGTATCGAAAGCCGACTTCCGCGATGCAGAGATAAATGTTTCACACGTCGGACGTGTACGTTCGGCGGCGAACACGCGTCGACAGCGCACCCGCCGCGATCCCGCGGGAAAATTGCGAGCCCGCG